GTTTTGTTTTGTTTTAATTTGTTCCCACGAAAAGAAAAATAATATACAATACTTATTTCTCTTTTCCATTTGCCATTATGAAATTGTACATTGTAATTTATTTGAAAAAAAAAAAAAACAAAAGAAAAATGATTACGATTAATAATAATTAAATATTTCATTCTTAATAATATATATATAATATTATAATATAAATCAGGTTAAATATGAATTAGATTAAGTAGAGAAATTAAAAGATACATCGCATTAATATGATAGAACATGATTCAGTGTAATGATATAGAAGTAAATAGGTATGTATGTATATATTATATATATATGTATATATATACACACACATATTTCCTCTTATTGATCTCTCACGTAGCTTGTTAGTAATACATAATTCGAAAACGTCAATGCAGCAATTCAATACAATAAATCGTGAATACTCATTAGCGAATATTATCCTCATTATCGGGCATTAGGCCTACTATTCAAGCTGCGATAGTGCTTATGGCTTTGCGTACAATTTAAAAACAAAAAATTAGATTAACGTATAAAGCTATTTATCGATTAGAGGAGAATCGTTTCGACGCGAGATATATATATATGATAAATCGATTGAATTTAAAATAATATTTATCGAATCATAAACAAACAACGAGTAAACGTTTCGTGGATGAATAATCAAATATTATGGGGTTAGTTAAAGTTAATTTTTTTCAAATAAACCGAATTAGAACAAATATTATCGATATATCATTGTGTTTATTTTTTATTTAAATCTTGTCTTAATTCCAAATTAATCCAAAATCCACCTTTGATCTTTAAATTGAACGATTTGTTTTCGAATACTACCGGATCAATTGTTTTACTCGTACGTTTGATAATAAATTTCTTAAGTATATTAATTATAACTACTTTAGTTTCCATTAATGCGAAACGTTCGCCGATACATTTTCTAGGACCTAAACCAAACGGGAAAAATGTGTAAGGATTGATATTGTGTTTGTTTTCTTCGCTAAATCTTTCCGGATCGAATTTATCCGGATCCGTGAAGTATCTCGGATCGTGATGAAAACCATAACATGGAATCCAAAGTGCGGTGTCTGGTTCGATAACTATTTCTTTGCCACCCGGTACAGATGGAGGAATGACTGTACGTTTCGCACAAAGTCTATCCATAAAAACTGCTGGTGGATATTTTCTTAAAGTTTCGTTTATAACCATGTCCAAATACGTCAATTTAGAAAGATCCTCATAATTAAATTCCCCATTGGCTCTGACCAATGCTTCATCAATTTCCTCCCTTAATCTATTTTGAATATCTTGATGTAACGATAATTCATAAACCATAAAACACATCAATGTTGACGAGGTATCGAAACCAGCAAGAAAGAATATAAATGCTTGAGCTACGATATCTTGAATATCCAAATTGCTGGATTCTTTGTCTCTGGCTTGTATCAACAGATGAATCATGTCCGGTCTGATGATACCTTGTTCATCTCGTGCCTTAACAGTCTCGCGTACGATATCATTGAAGAATTGAGCAGTCGATGGTGTTAAAAAACCGACTCCTAATAATTTCATAAATCCAGGACAAAGTCGTAACAAAGTGAACTTGATCGCATTCAAAAACCCATCAAATTTGGTTGATTCTGCGCCCTTTAGAAAAAAAATATTGTTCCTGTCCTTCATTGAATTAACAGAAATCCCAAATGCTACGGTAGCGATAACATCATTTGTATATCTGGTAAAAGCATCCTTCATCTCGACTTCTTTAGCAGCTTCCGGATGTTCCACGAAATAATTAACGAATTCGTTTGAACACTTGGACACGAGCTCGAGCATAAATCTCATTTTGCTCGCAGTAAATGACGGACTTAAAGTATTTCTCATTTCCTTCCAACGTTCGCCACGTAACGAGAATACGTTTTTACCGAAAACCGGATCGATCGTTTCGTCAACGAATGCACGATGATCAGGAAAATGATCGAATTGTTTCACCGTGATATCCTTCAATAATTCTGGATCACGTACTACCAATAGGGGTGATATAAAATCCATACTGCCAACGTATTTAGCCCCTGGCACTTCTGTATACATTATCTTACAATAATCTACAAAGGAAGTTTTACCGAACAACATTTTCCAATTGATACCGAATAAAGGATAATTTAATGCCGTTGGTACACCTTTCTTCTTCCAATACGTATATTGAAAGTAAAATACCGATATCACTCTGATCGCTATTATAACGATCAGAGTAATTAAAAGTATGTAAAAACTGGATGATGGTAAAAAATACAACTCCATCGTGACTGAGGTCGAATAAACTACTGACAGTTCGCAACGATAAGCAGCAGAATATGAGGATAGCTGCCATAAAGGATTTTTATCTTTGTCTTGATCGAATGAAGTCAAAGAGAAGGGGAATGATGATACAAACGAGAAAGAGAGAGAGACACACACACACACACAGAGAGAGAGAGAGAATGATACAGAGAGTAAGAGAGAAATATCTGACGTAACTAACTAAACAATCATTACGTCATCGTGCCGTTTATCTTTAATGATAGTAATCGTGTCATTATACGTATTTCTTGAATCGCATTTTACGATGCTTCCATCTATGTAAATACTAGTTTAATATACAAATGATATTCTATATTATTCAATTCTAATTAAAGAAATATTATTATGCATGGAAAACAAAAACATGTAAACAATTAATTGTAAAATTCCAGATGACTTAATCAACTTTTCAGATAAAAAAAGAAAACGAGATTAGAGAGAGAGAGAGAGAAAAGAAAAGAATTAAAGCGCTTTACGCTTTATTGTTTCTTTTTTTTGTTTATTTTTTATATCTCAAAGTCTTTCTTTCTAATCTAATCATAAGAAGACGATGATATATATATATATATATATATATATATACCTTCCAATTAATATTATTAACAACAATTATGACTTACCGATAAAAATGAAGATCTGGTGATGAGAATAACGAAGCAACATCGATATCGAGACAGTCTGAAACAATGGAAAATATTGCATTGTAAGAATATAAATCGATCAACATAAGATTATCAATAAAAAAATAAAACAAATATAAAAAAAAAAGTATCAAAATAATATGACAAAATTATTCTTCGTAAGAGAACGAAATAGTAACGTTTTACGTGATACGTTTTGTAATATTATGACTTTTTTTTTCCCCCCCCATTCTTAAAATAAATAAACATACGTATGTGTGTGTGTGTGCGTACGTGCGTTCGCTTTAATAATGTAAAAATCTATTATATAAAATATTCAATGTATATAAAAATAAGCGGGAATATTTGTTCTGTTTTCGAATTATTCTCTTACAACGTTGATAATCGTAATGATGTTAGAAAAAAAAAATAAAATAAATAACAAAAATTATTTTTTTTCTACGCTACGAGAAAAATCGTTCGGTATCGTTCGTTGCAATACACACACACACACACACACAGAGAGATTCCTTTTGCACGTTTAATTCTTCCCTCGTATACTCGAATTTAGTTCGAGCCCGGAGTTGTTTTCATTATGTAGGATACTATCTCTAGCGTTAGGATAGAAACGAAGTTACAAAGAGAAAGAGAGAGAGAGAGAGAGAGAGAGAAAACGCGTTAACCTTTACCGTTCTCTCTATCCCGTAGAACAGAATCTGAATCGGTGGTGGAGAAGGCAGGGGGGGGATGATAGGAGGTGCAGGAGGTGTAGGATTTGCTTCCGTTAATATTTCGTAGAGGCACAATAGTTTCAACAGTAGCTGCAGAACACATTGGAGTGAGTCTCTGCCTCTGAGAAAGGTTTAGCATCGAGTAAATTGGAAAGCGGGACGGTCGCACTCGGTTACCGGGTTGAACGAATGATGCAATTGTATTTCGACCCGTAGAAATTGAAGTACCACCTGACACCCTACCGAAGATAATCTACTATCGAGTGAGATGCCCAATAACTGTAAACCGGAACGACGACGCATCCATCCCTTTTTCGAGAAATTCTGCTTTGGAAAATCGTTATCGATTTCTTCTTGTTTCATGAACCCCCCACCACCCCCCCCGNCGCCCTCCCCACATTCCATCCCCTTTCCACGCCACTTGTCTTTATTTCTTTTCCTTTTTTTTTTTATCCTCTATCTTTTCCTCTCATTCGATAATCGTCGAAAATACATTTAACTCCATATTGATAACTGATGATTATTTTTCATTCTAACAGACATTATCATTTTCCCGTTTTTGCTATTGACTTATATAAAAAAAAGAAAAAGAAAAAAAATATGTTTTTTAACTCCTTGCCATTCGTGTGATACTCGAAAAAAGTTCTTCCCATATTTTCCCTATAATATTATATGATAGATAATTTTTAAATTAGCAACAAATTGATCACACGGTATAATATTTCTTTTTCTATAATAATATAAAATTCTTTCTCGATTTATAACAACAATATAAATAATACCGTAGAGCATTAACGAATGAGATCGAAAATGATGAATATTAAAAAAACTAATAGAATAATCGTATGACATGAATATAAATATAACAAGAAAATGAAAGATATTTCGAGGAGTGTTAATGGAGAGGGTAAATTTGGAATGGTGGCACGAGCATCGTATGCACATGACAGAACGGATAGGTGTGATATACGGGACGGACAACAGTCGCGTACACGTGACCGCTGTGTAGACCGTTTGCAGGAAGAGGTAGGAAGGCGGTAGCATTCGAAGGCAAAGTACCTTTAAAGCGAACTCAAATTCACGTGTAACAGCACGAGCGTAACTAGAACTCCGCCCTCCTTTCCCCTTTCCCGCTATTCCTCCTCGATTACCATCAATCGAAGCATTCATAAGGGTCGCGTATAATGGAAGAAAATCGATGAACATGTACACCCCCCTAGAGTATATTATATTTTTTGATTCGTTACAGGAAAAACGCCAGAATATTGTTTTATCTTTTCCTTTTTTGTAAAAGAAATCTCCTAATAAAAGAAGATGTACGATGATCGCGATAATAATTGTTATTCATCCTAAACACCTTCCGGAATGATTGAATTTGGTTTTACATACTGATGAGAGAGAATTTCTAACAAATACTGTAATTCCGGTCATGGGATAACACGATGTATTTCATGACAATTTGATACAAAATTACCGGCCTGGGGCCACCACAACGAATATGATGCCCCTAATAACGTTGATTTATACCACCGGTTCAACTCCAAAGGGATCGCTGTGATGAGGACAGGGGAGGGTTGAAAGTCTATGTGCGAGTTGCCTCTCGCCGGGTGGTTAGTTTAAATTGATTGCCATATCCTTTTACACGCCCTACTCTATCGTGTAGGTAATCTGACGGAAAGGAATAACTCTGCATCGAAAACGTATACGTGAAAGTAAATTTAACTTGAGTCTTCGTACGGTATTACCTTTCCAAACGATACATCAAGAGCTCACTTTTGATGTCAAACGTCAACGTACCATAGCGATCCGTCTCGTGAAATGACGAGGAAAAAAAAAAAAGAAACAACAAGATATGAAGATACGAATAAAAAAAGATCTAACCCTTCTCTAGGATTTCATAAAGCAAATTAACGAAGATTCGTTTGCTTATTGTATACACAGAAATAAGAAAGACTATATATAAAAACAAAAAACGCTATATAAATAATACTTACGAATACTAGCATAATGAAAAATGCAGCGAGATACGATGTTTTGGCCATCCACATGCTAACAAAACGATAATGTTCACCGGTTACAACATTTCTAAAACAAATAAGATAAATATATTATATGTGATATAATACAATTAATAAAAATATATTTATTTCGTATATTATATTGTACTACATATTGTTTTAATTACCTCAAGAAACCTTTATTATCTTCGTGCTCTGCTAATGTCTTAATACTTGCCATTAGCAGATCATCGTAACCTAAGAATTCGTCTAGTATTAATCTTGAAAATGCATCTCCAAAACATTTATCATTTAATGGATCCAACGTGACAATTTTCACCGATATGTTTAATTGTTCTCGTTTTTCAGGAGGTAATCTCAAATAGCCATACTCCAATGAATATTCCACGATGTATCCATCCTCTGGAAGAACTACTAACAAATAAATAATATTCAAAATTAATTAAACATTTAATTGTGTATATACATATATATATATATATATATATATTTTTCTAAATATAAGTAATAATAATTATATAAATATTTACCTGGTCTTGATGTCTTCTCGGAATCCGTAGCATGTTCTTTTGAAGAGTGAATCTCTTTATCTTTATCATATGCTTCCGCCTTCGTTGCATTACCCTGTCGTGCATTTACCAGTTATAATATGTTTAACATATATTTAATCGATGTCTAAAATAAATTATACTACTTCACGTTGTACTAATATTTCATTTCATTTATTTATCTTGGAATTTGAAATAAAAGTCGTTAATTTAAAAAATCTATTTGAAAGTATACCTCTAATCTTTCTCCATTTATATCAGACCCAGTTAATGACGGACTTCTCGTTGCATTAGATGTACTTAAATTCGGATACTGCGTTTCTCCAAAAATTGTTGTACTGGTTATATCCACATTGCTTACAGGTAAAGTAACATTTTCGTAATTATTTTCGGTAGACAGATGAATGGTTTCTCGCCCTTCGTCGACAGAAGATGGCTCGATGTTGATAAGCCTATTAAATAATTATTCTATTGTTAAAATACAAAATAATTTACCATTTTATGATAAAAATATAAATGATCATAAATCTGAATATGAAGATTATTTTAAATAATATATAATAAATTTTATCATAACTATAAAAAGAGAGAGAGCATTACATACGTACGCTGTTTTATTAGAATAATAATGATACTTACCCATCTTGCAACAGTATCCCAATATCATTCTTTTCTTGTCGTAACTTCTCTTCTTTTGCATAACTTTTTTCTATACTATAATCTTCGCCCTTATTTCTAAGAATCTCTACCCTTAATATACCTTCTCGTGGCCAATCATCTTTTATATGTTCTAAACAATTTATAGGTGCTCGTGAAAAGACTATGTGAATATAAGTGAGTACAAAAAAAGCCAGTATTGCCTAGAAAAAAACAAAATATATGTATATATATATAATCAGTTTTCTTCTATATGTTATATTATAATTATTTTCTATTATTTATCTCTTTAACATATACTTACTTTGAACAAAACTATGAACTCTATAAATCTTCTAACAGGTCGTGGAAATGTTCGTGCATAAGCTAATGCAGCCTTGATAAAAACTGCATGAAATAATCTATCTCGCACATTAAATAATGGATTCTGATTATTATTATTCCTCGCAGTATTCATATTATTATTATTTAAAACTGGTCCGCTAACACCAGTGAGAGTACGATTATTATGTGAAACTGTGCCATTTTGATTATTAGGTACTGGAGCAGTAGCAGTATCGGGTTGTGACATTGTAACAATAAGAATTGTTGTTATATCTGTAGACAATATAATTTAAGTATAATAACTTGTAATAGATACTCAAAGGATTTTCATATATCTTATGTTTATATGCGCTGTTAATAAATATTTATATGCGCTGTTTGACATTTCCCACTGATTATTACAAACTTATCCTGAAACAGAAACAAAGAATAAAAATATAGTTTACTAATAAGAGTTATAATACAAAACAAATAATCTAATTATATCTATATATATAATTAGATAAAAAAAATATAGAAATCTATATATATAATACGTTGCAATGAATATTCACATATGCAAACTATTTATATGTATATAATAACTTGTAATATAATGAACGTAACATTTGATTATTTTATTTGGTAATTCGAATCGTTATCTTCTATCGTTAATTGTAATAATAATTTATTCCAAAAAGAATAAATAGTAATATAATAAATGAAAAGCAGTTACAATTAAACTTAACCTGCAATGTGATAAATTACCGATATATAACGTATTACCTTGAATTACATACGTCAAAATATCTCATTATCATGTGATTAAATTTATTAGTAATAATTCTTATTATATCAAATAATACAATTCTTGTGTGTGTGTTTATATTTACTTTATCAATTAAAATATGCAATAGAGAGAAAAGTCAAGTGTCATATTATGAAGAAACTTTCAGTTACGTAATTAACAGTGCGAAAAAGTTCTATTATGGAGCATTAAGAAGCATTAAAAAAACGTTACATATTCCATATTTTTTTCTAAACATGTTATGATTAGACTAAATCGATATTATATCCATAACATATGAAACTTTACTAATCTATCTACTGTTTGAACTTTCTGTGTAAAATCTGGCATGCCATACCTTATTTAAAAGCGAAGTAAAAATATCGTTATCTTATTTAAATCAATATTTTTGTTTTTATTTACGTTACCGCATTACTTATTAATAGTTTTCTAACTTTATAAACGCAATACAATGATCATGAAATTGTCACTTCATCATCATATGTTTTGATACCCGTCAGCTTACAATACTCGCATATACTAACTAGAAATAAGTATGGAAATCTCTAGTAACATTTAGTGGACAATTTCTAATCGACACGAGCGCCATTTAGAAAAGTCGGTAATATAGGGAACTAATGTTTTAGCGACAATAACAGTTTCAAATATTTATCTTTTTAATAATATAATACACAAAAATATATATAATAATAAAAGAATTATCTACTTTAAAATTATTACACAATAAAAAAATACTCTATACACCATCTATTATTATTCAATAATGTTATATATATAAATATATATATATAAATTTCTTGTTAGAAAAATATAATGTCAAATTTAAAATATTTGAAACTTTGTCCAATCGTTGCGTATTAAATAAAAGCCGCGTTAATATGAATCTGCTTATAAATTTATCTGATATTTAATACTCGTTTAAATATATTATTTAATATTAATAAAAACTTACATATATGCTTTCAACATATATTAGATACGTATTTTTTCAATAAAATAAAACATCGTACTACCACATAAATCTTTTTTAAAGCTGTCATCACATTAAAAGCGGAAAAAAGAAAACCGCGATAAGATTATATGAGAATCCTTATACTTATTGTTAGCCAAAAGACGGTATTTCATTTTTATATTTTCAATTAAAAAATGGGATTTTTTGATTTTGGTAGATCAGAGGGCTTTCCTTCGCAATATTATTCTGATATAAAGCCAGTATTATTTGATGTAGTAGAAATCCTTTTCGTTACAGTTTTTCTTCTTATATTAATAGCATTTGCTTGTATTATCCCAGGCTATAGCAAAAAGCGCGTAAGTATCAATATGAATATTTTATTTATTTATCATTCACGATAAATAAAAAGAAATAATATTAATATATAATTTGTTTTATGTGACTAGAGTATTTATGTTACCATAAAAATCAGCTTTAGTTTAATGATTGGATGTTTCTTGATTTGTAAGAATATTTTTCATACTTTCTACAATTTATATACATATTTTTGGATTATTATTTGTATTGTTCTAAAAAATGTTGCAGTGGAAAACTTTGGTCAGGAATGGGAAATTGGTAGCGTAAAAACTATTGTACCTTATAAAGCTGGAAGTAGCGCATCAATAGATTCAGTAATTGGTGTAAAAATAGGTCTGAGGTCAGTTAATATTACTTTGAAAGGTAAGTCTACATAGAACACTCATCTCTTTTTTTATATGTATATAACTAATTTTAAATGAATATATAAATTTGATTACAGGCAAAGGAAAAAATGGAGCGCTACAAAATGAAATTATTAATTACAATGAAAGATTTCCATGGACATGGGATCAGGGCAGATTTGGATTTGGACCTTATAGTTTGTAGTCTTATTGTAACAATATGTACATTATTCAAATAATAATGCATTAACTATTATTATTTTAGGTGGTTTACTACAAAGAAGTTTACGAAGTGCTCAAAGAAAAGGTTTACCTATTCCAATTTTATGGGTTGCTGAATATTTTGTTATTGATGGGGAAGGTATACGATTTGGTAGATTTTATCGAACTGCTGGATGGTACTGTCATATCTTATTATGGTTTGTATATATAATACGTATAAAATACTCATTAATGTTTTTGTACATAATCATATATAAGAACAATAAAATGTTATACTCAATTTTATATAAATATTCTATACTAAATTTACTAATATATCTCACACAACCTACACAGGGCTGCATTTAGTTGTTGGATAGTGTCAAATATAATGTTGCAATCTGTAACCCGATATGCAGCTTACTTAATTGGAATAGTTGGTGGACTACAAATATTAACTTGTGTCTTATGGTGCGCTATACGCAATGAAACCCCACTTGTTATACCTTTCGAAAGTGGAACTCTAACATTGAATTTTGGTCTACATTTTTGGATGTCTTTTACATGTGGTAAAAATTGTTGCACATCTTTATCTTGCCATCTTATAAATGAAAACTTATTAACATATTGTGAATTTAATTATATAGGTATTTTTTGTATTATCCTGGCTTTAGTAATTATATTCATGGATTTACGATATCCAGACAATCTATCTGAATTTCTTGGAATTGATCCATTAGATCAATACGATGAATGTTTACTAAGTAAGTTTGATGTCACATATAAGAATATTGCTAATGTTAAATTAATAATTTATTTCTGATTAGGCCCAGATGAAATAAAAACTATAGCACGAAATAAAAAAATGCCAGATGATACAATGGAGATGACTTCTAGATCAGATGCTAACTCATCAACGCAAAATAGAGGCATGGTAAGTGACAATAAATACTTTTTTACAAAATTTTAAATAAAATTCATTTGCAATAAGAGCACAAAATTTTTGTAATATAATTATTAAATATGAGTCCATTCTATATAGATGCTAATGAAGAGACGTTCAAGTTTAAAGTACGTTCAAAAAGATCGTTTTCGCAAACAAGTTCCAGTAAAATTTGAAGAATATGAAAATGTAGCATTTTATGAAAATCTATAGCAAAATAAATATTTAAATACATACATCGATGTCGGTACAATAGCATTTATTATTGTAACGGAAATATAATTTTGTAAAGTACATGAGAATTAAAAGAAATACAAATAAAATAGGGAGTAATTTTTTTATAAATGGTGGCAAGGAATGAATTATAAAAACTATAATTAATAGCAAGCAAGAATTAATACCAAAGTAATATTTTCTGTTTTTTCTTTTCAAATAAACATAATGACATATGGCTGAGATATGTTTTTATAACTTTGAATAATGTGCTTACTGTACAGATGAATTATATCTTACTATATAAATTGAAATTAACAAAATAATAATAAAATAAAGATACGTGTTAATTAAATTTTTTGAAAAATTTAAGATACAGATTCCTTATCTTTACTTTCATTATCAGCTGTAAGTCTATTTTTTTCGTCTGACTTTGATTCTTTATCTGATTTTTTATCCTTGGATTTCTTCTCGCTTTTTTCCTTGTCACCTTTATCCCCGTCACTTTTTTTACCATTATCAGACTTATCCTTACCTCTATCTTTATCCTTATCCTTATATTTATCAGAATATTTCGATTTAGATGTTCTAGATTTAGATTTAGATCTTGACCGTCTAGATTTAGATTTAGAACGTTTACTACGAGAATGAGAACGACTCCTGCGCCTTGGTGATCTTTTTCTACGATCTCTTGATCTAGATCGAGATCTACGTGATCTAGATCGTCTCGATCGTGATCGAGAACGATGACGACTACGAGAGCCACTTCTTCTCCGTGATGGTGATTTTCTTCTACGTTCTTTAGATCGAGATCGTTTTGAACGTGACCTGGATCTACGTCGATGGCGCGAACGTGAACGTCGGTGTCGCGAACGAGATCTTTTTCGTGATCTTGAACGTCTACTACGACCACGCGATCTAGATCTCGATTTTCTACTACGTGAACCACTGCGACTACGTTTGTCTTTCGAGAGCATACCAATCATTGGATCTATCGCTGCAGAAATCAAATTGTGAGCTTCTTTAACACGAGACATAGCTTCCTCTATTTCTTTTTGAGCTGCTTCATTACTTTTTGCTTCTGGTTTTGCTATTGCTTGCGTCGAATGATAAATTTTAATATGTCTATCACCGAGCGTTTTTCCATTTAATAATAATGCAGAAACCACCGCTCCTTGTTCTGTGAGTTCCACTAATGCGTAATGATCTGTATCAGAATCTCTTGTACAAAGGCGTAAGTACTTAATCTCAACATTATTATTGCTAAAAAAATCAAGCAATTGCTCAGCCGTCGTAGAAGCATCTAAATTGGCTATCACTAATGTTCTCCTTATTTCCTCAATTCTTCTACTATCCAAATGGCCAGGTAAATGTGGATAAGGTGGTAATCCATGAGCTTCTAATTTAGGATCCATTGTTGTAATTACATGATTCGGAGGAATCCCTTCGATTGCATTTACAACATTTGGTGGAAGCTTTGGCTCAGAAGGATATAGACCTAAGAAGAAAAATTAATATTTGTGTAACATTAATAAATTAAAATATACACAATGACACAATAATAATTATTAAATTTTAACTATTTACCTGGTACAACAGTGCCATTGTTGGTTAATTCAAGTGCTCTCTGTTCGTCTGGAATATCTCCATTTTGATAAGGAATAACTATTAAAGCTCGGTCAATGAAAACAGTATTTGTCATGTGTTGAGCAACTGCAACACATCCTTGATCATGAAATTTAACATAACATATACGTGATTGTACGGGCACTGCTACATCCCTTATAGTAGGATATAATCTAATATCTTCTATTTTTCCTAAGTAACCAAATAAAGTTTGCATTTGATCTTTAGTTGCTTGGGGTGCAATATTCGTCACTTGTACTACTTTTGTTGAACCAACCGCCATAGTTAAATCGTTTTAGACGATAAATACAAAGACTATATCCTGAAGAAGTCGTACACGAGTGAAAACCGCCAATATTACATTCTCTTCTTCGAACATAAATACGGAAGCTTCGTTAAATGAAGTAATGTAAGTATAACACTATACCTTATTTCTTCCGTTTTATTTTTCTTTTTCCTTTACCTTAAACACTTATTGCTTGTAATTATTAATAATAAAATATTTGTCGATTACAACCTCAATTTCACTAATACTCGATAAAAAAAACGGTTTTAGACGATAAAAAAAGACGCCATCTGGTGACAAAAAGAACAAATGTTCAGCTCCCTCTATGAATCGATTTCTCTTTCTCTCTCTCTTTTTTTCAAATCTTTACTA